CGGTCGCTGGCCTCCCGGGGGCCCCGCGCGCTCTTACCTCGGGGAGCGGCCGGGGCTGCGCCCTAGTCCCCGCGCCTCGGGACGGCGGCGTGTGGAGGGAGCCCGGCTAGGTCCGGCCCCGGTGTCCGCCGGGAGGAGCCGAGGGAGAGCGGGAGCGAGAGGGGGAGCCGCGGCGGCGAGTGCGCGCGTGTGTGGAGGAGCGAGAGAGCGAGGGAGTGTGCGTGTCTGACTAGGGGGGAAGTGTGCAAGGGACGGATCCCTTCCTTCCTCCCGCAGCCTCTGGTGGAGACTCGGAGAATGCAGCGCCCGCCGGCCAGGAGCGCCGCGCCGCGCGGAGCAGCAGGCGGCCGCCGGGCCGGACCCCGCAACCAGCTGGGGAGCCCGGCCCCCGCCCCTTCGCCCCTCCCTCGCCCTCCGGGCCGGGCGGCTTCATCTCCCTCGCTGCCCGGGCCTCGGGGAACCCCCAGGGGGAGTGCTCCTCGGTCCTCCAAACCAGATCCACGCGAAGGGAGCGCCCCCAGGAGGGGAGCCTGCCTGACTGCTGGGATGCCCCGGGAGGTAGACCCGACCCTGTCCCGGCTACACACCTCGCCTGAATTCACTAACCCCCGCCCCCCCCCCCCACTAAGAGAACCTGGCTTCAAAAGAGGGGGCTGCAGGCGAAGATGGGGGCAGGCTTCACAAGTGGCCACCCCTGGCTGGCTGCCCAGAAAGGCCCATTGCATAGGCCGCGGGCTTCAGGAGCAATCACAGCGCACAGGGGTGGACAGAGCCTGGGGCTGGGCGTCTACGAGCAGGTGGGAGGACAGTTGTCATAAGAAGAGAACCATGTCGGCCTTCCCTCTTCAGGAGAGAGCCCTGGACATCCCGTCTCCAACCAAGGAAGAAAGCAGGGACACAAAACAGCCTGACCTAAACTTAGTGCCCCCTTGGCACCATCCTCCTAAAACAACCTATCCACCTTCCAGAAACACCTGGAAGACCCTCTTTTCCGCTCCTGTTCAAATTCAGCTGACTCCCTGCACAAGAGCTTTTCTGCCCTGACTGGTTTCTTTCTCCCCGTTGCATGACCGAAGGTTAGGTGGGCAAGGGATAACCGGAATGAACAGCTATATGACCCTGTCCTTAACCTGTTGACTCTGACCAGGCCTCCCTATCTGCAAACACCTGTTCACAGCAAAGAGTGGGGTGAGTCCCCCAGGAACCCACACTCCAGCTCACCCCAGCCTGCTCCTCACTTAGCCTCTCTAATTTCCCTGGTGACTGGTGTCTCCTCTGGGTGACTGCCCCTCCAGGCCTTCTTGCTGAACTCCATGGCACTTGTTTATTTTGAGATTTATCCTCTACCTAAACAGCCTGTTCCCTGCTTTCAGTCCTTCATTGATCTCCCCAGCCTTGCCTTTGTATGGCCTCTTCTCCTGGTCTCTCACCCTCTCTCTCTACTAGCCTCTACTTTTTCGTGCTTTCAGAGAACAGAGGCTGGCCCTGCCAGATACACTCTCCACTTCCTGTTCTCTCCCTCCCTCCCACTCAGGTGTGCAGCTGTGATTGCTCCTGAAATCTCCAGGCCTGGTGTGTCTTGACCTCTCAGGAGTTCGACCTACTTACATGTCCATGGGTGGTTTGGGCCTGGGATCCTGTGGCTCTCATGTCTGCTGGCACATAGAGGTGCTCTATAAGTTCTTTTCTCCCTAGAACCCTTTACTGGAACCCCCATTTGCTGGATAGCTTTAGTTGCCAACTTGACAAACCTGGGAAGTGGGACCCTCAACCTGGGAATTGCTTCTATTGGATGGGCCTTGTGGACACATCTGTGGGGCATTTTCTTGATTGTTGAGTGATGTGGGAGGGCCCAGCCCACTGTGAGCCGTGTCATCCTTGGGCAGGTGGTCTGGTGTTGTATAATAAAGCAGGCTGGGCATGGGCCAGGGAACAAGCCAGTAAACAGCGTTCCTGCATGATCAATGCTTCGGCTCCTGCGTCCAGGTTCCCACCCTGAGTTCCTACCCTGACTTCCCTCAGTGATGAACTCTGTCCTGGAAGATGTAAGATAAAATAATCCCTGTCCTCCCCAAGTGTTTTTATCATAGCAATTGAAAGTAATTAAGACACCCCACCTTTTTCTCTTCCAACACCTAGCATCCCCCTTTTGGACTCCCTTTCTCTAGTTATCTTTGATTCTGCCATCCATCCACAAACCTTCTCTGGGTGCCCACATGTCAGGCATTGTCCTGGGCTCTAAGAGCACAGGAGAATCACCATCAGTGCATGACTGTCAAGATTTTAAGTCCTCACAATATAATGCATATTGCCAACCCCGCCTTACAGATGAGGAAACTGAGGCACCGCATGGTGGAATATAAGAATACACAGAGGGCAAGTAGCAACCGTGGGTCTGTGCATCCTGCCTGGGTCTGCCCTTGCACCCTGGTCTGGGAGGAGGGAAGCCAGAACTCTCGCTGGGTACCAGGTGCAGCAAGAGGCACTGTGGTGAGATAGAACAGCCTCATGAGAAGCATGGGGCACATTAGGCAGACCTCTTTCCCCAGTGTTGATTTACTGATCAAATAAAATAATTATGACCATAACAGTTAGCAAGCCCTGTGTTATTAATAAACATTTTCCATAGATTTCATTTGATTTTCATAGACGCCAACTTACAAGTTTATAAATGAGGAGACTGGGGCACAAAGGAACTATGAAACTTGCTGAAGGTAACATAGTTTGTAGAAGAGCTGAGCTTCAAGCCCACACAGGCCAGGGCTGGAGCCTGCGTGCTTGAACTGGTGTGTGATTTTGCCCCCAGGTAAGCAACAAGCCTGGTATTCAGATGGTGTCTTTATACTATATTGAGGTGGTGTGAATACAAGAGGAATATTACTCTCTCAGAATGAATGGGGCCAGGAAAGACTTGAAGGATGGGTGTGGCTAGGGATGCATTCTAGGAAGAGGAGTTTTTAAAAATATTTTATTTATTATTTTTATTTTATGTGTATGAATGTATTACCTGTATGTATGTAAGTGCACCCATGTTGTGCAATGCCCATGGAGGTCAGAAGAGGGCGTCAAATTCTTTGGAACTGGAGTTACAGAAGATTGTTAGCCGCCATGTGGGTGTTGAGAATCAAACCCAGGTCCTCTGCAAGAGCAGCCAGTGCTCTTAACTACTGAACTATCTCTCCAACCCCAGGAGGAGTTTGTGAGATTCTACCTCCCACCTCCAGAAAAATGTCCAGCCAGGCTTGATATACGAATCACCTTTGAAGTAGTCATCTAGGCCCTGGCTTTACTTAGGCCCCCTCCACCTCCACCCCATGACATTTGGGTCCATAACCCTTTGTCAAGGAGCTGTCCTGAACTCAGTAGATGATGCTTAGCAACATCCCTCATATCTGCCTGCTAGATCCTGTGGTACCACTCCCCTCTCTTAGTTGTGACAACTAAAAATGTGTCCAGACAATGCCAAATGTCTCCCAAAGGGCAGAGTCAGCCATAGTTGAGCATCAGGGCTCCAGTGTGAGGGCCTGAACAGCAGGGTCTGCTCCAGGGTGCTGTGCCTTTGAGCAGGTGTTGCTGTGTGTGTGTGTGTGTGTGTGTGTGTGTGTGTGTGTGTGTGTGTTTGGGCTGCTGTCAGCTCCAGCCTCTGCTCCTCTCCCTGACTCTTCCTCTCTTCACATTTCTTCACACCACGGCCCAACCCCACAGGGCCTCACCTGGGTCTGTCCTCTCCACCCACAGCTCCTATGGCTTTCTGTCCTGCTTGTGTCTCTGTGTCTGTCTGTCACTTTCTCCCACACTGTCTGTCTGCTTTTCCTCTGACACTCTCCACCGTGGCTCTGTCTCTTCTCCAGCAGCATTTAAGGGGCTCTCTGATGCTTTCTGAGTGTGTGTCCTGGTTTGTCCTTTCTACCTGACTCCTTTCTCTCCTTGTCTCTGTGTCTCTTTGACATCTTCTTTTCCCTGGCTGCGTTTCTGTCATTCTTTTCCACTTCTTTCTGGCTTTCTGTCCTGTTCTCTCTCTCTCTCTCTCTCTCTCTCTCTCTCCTCTCTCTCTCTCCTCTCTCTCCTTGCTGTCTCTGTCATCAGTCCCCCTCAAGTCTCCATGGTCTCCCTCCTCACATGCCACTGGGTTCTCTGTCCCTACCCTGACCTCTTCCCATCTTCCCCTCCTACCTCTTCCTTCCTCTCCCTTCCCTTCCTCCCATCCCTCCTCTCTTCCTTCTTGCCCTCCCTCCCTTCTTTCCTTCTCTCCCTCCCGCTCTGTCCGTGGGAGCTGGAAGTTAAAAGCTTTTCGGAACTTGCTCTCCAGTCGCTGTTCCCGGCGCCTTTCATCTCGCCAGCACATTTGTAAAACTGCGCAGACTGAAGGGCCATGACATGAACAACCACAGAAATGTCAGCGCAGGGATGGGGCCGCCAGCCAGCGGTGGGGGAACTGCCAGGGCGTACCCCAATCCCTCCTTGGAGGGACTCTGGTCCTAGGCTGGGGTGGAGTCACCCCCCCCCCAGACCCATTCCAGTGATTTGTTACTTTTCCAAGGCTCCTTCTGCTAGCAAGAGCCTGGGGCAGGGCAAGAGGGAAGGACAGGCAGGCTTCTGGGTGGACCAAGGAGAGACCAGGCTGGTGGCCGATACTTGGGAGCGCTGGGAGTGCTGGGGAGCGGAACTGCTTGCTCCCTAACACCTCGTCATGTTCATCCTCACCCACCCAGAGTCATTGTGTCTAGGTTCAAATCTCTCCACTTACCACTCTGAGCAAGTGGCTTCACCGCCATATGCCTCTGGTTCCTCAGAGGAAAAGCAGGCATGATATTAGCAATGCCTACATCAGAGGGTGGGGGTGCAGATTAAATGAATGAATCCATGTAAGACACTTAGGGTAGGTGTTTGCAGTGGTTAGCAAGGACAGCAGCAGTGGCCTTGCTGGATGGGATGGTGGGTCCCATGCTTCAGGAGAGGAAATTCAAGGTTAGAGGGGGAAGGTGACCTGCAGAAAACTCAGAACAACTGGGAGAGGAACAGCGATCAAAGCCCAGCTACCTCTCTTCCTTTTCTTTCTCCCAGAGGTTATGGGCATCGCATGGGGTTGGCATTCAAGGTCTGGTTGTTTAAGCCCCGACTCTTCCTGCTCCCTGCTGTGTCCTGTGGCCGGAGCTCATAGTAGATGCTCGATAAACATTTGTTGAATGAAGGTGTGATGAGATGAATGAAAATGTTACGAAAGGTGTCAAGGTTAGACAATTGAAAAGCATTTTATTTGCAAGTGTGTGAAGGACAAGGCATGGGAGGGAGTGAGGCTTGCAAACAAGGAACAGGGGCCTTGGGAAGCTCCAGAATGGGGCCGGGGGTGGGGAG